TTTGTAGTAAAAAAGCATCACATAGCGTATTTCTTCAGATATTTCACTCATTTTCAAACCAATATAACTTTTGACATGATTGATGAATCACCAAACTTTGTTTACAAAAAATGTAACCTAAAATGTCATCTTTCAGATGCGCGTTCGTTTGACACAATCGGATTAGTGTTGCCCGAAATATGACCATCTAGTGACAAAAAATATTTTTTTACGCGGATACTTTTTAGATGACCCAATATTATATACAAATATTATATACAGAACACCAAAATAATAATTAATAATAGTTAAGAAACGATCTTCTTAAAAAGAATTTCTATGTTTTTGTAAAAAATTCTTTTCAAGAGGATCGTTTCTTAACTACAATGGACCTTCTCTAACTTCAGTACTCTGTAACTTCTTCATTCCCCTTCCACTTGTACATGACGTCGTGTATAAAAATTTTCTGTGTTAAAATAGGTTATGTTGCATTAGCATCTGCGCAGCATTCTTACTCTATATCAAATCTGTCCAATTTGAGCTTCAGAGCTAAAAAACAAAGTCATTGACGTAAAAAAATCAATATAGGTAAAATTTCTGAGCGACGCTTATCAACATTTTAGAGATGGTTTTGCGTTTTGGCTCCGGCGCTTAAATTGGACAGGTCTATATGTAATACATGCTATTTATTTTGAATGCTCCGTTCCTAATGTAAGCATAGGGAGAATCTCCTTAATTCTCACAATCCTGCATAATAGAAGTTATGGAACCCATTGTATTAATTATTATTTTGCTGTTCTGTATGTGTATCGAGCTTCAAAATATCGAGTGTTCATTTATTTGTAAGAAATATTGCTTTATACATATAAAAATCGGATATTTGTGAAAAAGTTTTTTTTTAATAGATGGACACAATTTGGGCTAAAATTAATGACAGATTTTGTTTTATTTTGTCATAAGATTCAGAAACAACCGTAAAAATTTTGAAAAAAATTAATGAGTGACATTTCTGAAAGTTTACTTATTAGATTAAGAATTGTAAAATAGTGTTGCACATCTATTTTCTAAATTTTTATGTTCTAAATTTTTTTGTAACAAATATCTAGTCGATGCAGTAAATATACAAAAGCAGTCGTTTTAAAAGTTAAAGAAAGTTAAATAAAGGTTAAAGAAAAAGATATAATGCAAATATATGCTCTTCTCCCTTGTAAGATTTTGACAAAAACGCCTTATGATATGATTCTTATTATACTCATACATAAGTAACTTATATGTGAATAAAAAAATTAATTTATCTAATAATCTATATTGTAAATATTATTTAAAGTAATCTCATTTTTTTTTTAATTAGAACATTTTGATCTCAAAAATAATTTTTTCAAAATTAACTTTTATAAAATAACTTATTATTAGGTGTTGGAATTAATTCGTAGCGTTTTTTAATGAAAGAATGTTATTTATTTCACATGAGCATTAAAAAATACATTAATGAAAGTACTTCCCATCACTTGTAAAACGCTACGAATTAATTCCAACACCTAATAACTTAAAATACTTCATAAAATAAGAAAAGCAGTAATCCGTTCAATATTGTAAACACAATAATTAAATGAGTAGATAGGTAAAAAAACACGAGCAAAGAAACAAGATTTTTTAGTTTAAACTATATTATCGCACATTTATTAGTCACAATTAACTAGTTATTGGATGTCATAAAAACCATGGTGAGATAATATACTAGTTTAAATTAAAATCTTTTCTTTGCTCGGTTTTTTGACCTATCTATTCATTTAATTATTAAATTAATCCAATCTCTTAACTTAACTTTTATTTCTTTTTTAACTTTTTATACCTTCAACTTATGACTTAATTTTATTACAATATAATATAGGACCGTATATGTGATAACACAAACTATAAAAATCAAAGCCTTAAACGATCTAGCTGGATCTTAAATGCTTGTATGATTCTTGTGTGAATTTATATACTATGTATGTAGTTCTTAGAAACGCGCCGAAATGATTTTTCGGTCTTGAAATGCTAACTCCGTTTAAAACTTTGATTTCTGTAGAATGCAAGAAATCCGGATTCAACTCCCAGCCGAGATAATATTTTTTGCAATAACAATTAATTATTTACAGATTTTAATATGTCATTCAACATTATTAAGATCGTTCCGAAGATGCGAATAAACATCAAAAATTTGTTAAATTGCTAGCCAATTTAACTCGTGATATTAATTTTATTAATTTTATAAGTCATTAGCTTTAACTTAATTTAGTTTTTAAAAAACTTTAATTTACTCAATCCTGGATATAAAGATGTTAGCATTTCGATTTCATTTTTATTTAATTAGAAAATAAAAATATTAACATTTTTCATTATTTAAAAGAAATTATTAAAAATAATTATTATTAGAAGAATTAAAAGTAGGACCACTCCACCAGTTTTATTGTTTGTTGTAAAAATAGTTATACTACATTAGTGTTTCGACGAAATGTATTTTCTGTTTATATTATTGATACAATTTAAAAATTTCACATACACTCTTCAACAAAATTATCGCATAAGTAAATTTATATCAAAATTTCACATAAATTTAAATAAGCGTAACTCCGCGAAAAATGATTGCATTAAATATCGTTAAAAGTTTTTTTTCATTCTCAAAAGTAAAGTCTGTACTTTACAAAGCTTTCAATCGATTTTGAATCTATCCTTACCTCTATGTAACATCTTTTTAAAATTAAGAACGTGTTTTTTTTTCAGAAATTTGCATAGTTGAATGCACTAAACGTGGAGTAAATTTTTTTCGTAAATATTATGATAATCATCGTAAAGTGGACTTTTCTCTTACAATTTAAAAAAAAATTAATCTTTGATTTTTTTTGTAGGAGATACAGTATATTAAATTTACCTATGCATTTTATTCAATTAGCGCCAGCATTAACATTACCCGATGCACACCACAGAGAGATTGCTGGTTGGATTTTGCGAATCGTAGTGGATTTGCGTGCGTGCGTGTGTGCGTGCGTGGGAGAGAGACGTATCATGGAACTTTTTTCGATGGGATTTTTGATTACCCAGGATGAACCATGCATCAATCGGAATGACAACTAAAAAAATAAGAATTTTGCTATTGTACTGAAAAGAATATCACTGCACCAATTTTGTTGTTGTAATTTACAAACATAAATGTTTATAAATATGACAATTTGTAACATGAATGAATTCCATTTGAATATTTTTGATATTTCCTCGTACCTCATTTTGAAGAAGAAAAATATTATATTTTGTACATCATGTAACATTTTTTTTAAAGAATTTTTTTAAGAAGACCATTACAGTTATTATAAGAGTGTACCAATTATAGCGTATATTCTGTTTTTTGCGCGGGACAAAAATCTTAAAATTTTCTTTACGTATCGTATATTTTGTCAAAGTTCGAACAAACAGAAGTATTAAAAGTTATTTATATGGTCTTATAACGAGAAGGAAAAAATATTTAATTATATAATAGCATAAAACTCATAAAATCAAAAGTTATGTTTTTTACATTTAAAAATGAAAGAGAGGATAGAGCATGTACAGCCTTCGATGGATTTCGGAATACAGTTTGCTTATCGAAAAAAAAATGTTGCCTTTCCGTGATCGATTGTACATCGCCTATTCAAAATAAAATATTCTCATTAATAAAACAGTAAAAAATTATTAGAGACCAACTGATGTGAATGGATGTGTGCTAATGGAACACACGCGCGCGCGCGCGCGCATACACACACACGCACACATACGATTCGCAAAATTCGACCAGCAACCTCCTCGTGTTGTACATCGGGTAATGCTATTGGCGGTAATAAAATGTATAGGTAAGTTTAATGCACTGTATCTCCTTGAGAAAAAATCGTTTAAAGCTTAATTTTTTTTAATTTGTAAAGGAAAAGACCATACTTTATGATAGTTATCATGACATTTACGAAAAAAATTCTCTACCCGTAGTTGAACTACGCAAATTTCTTAAAAAAAAGACATATCCTTATTTTTGAAAAGAAGTAGGAGTAAGAATAAATTCAAAATTCATTGAAATAGATTTTATCTTTACCTAGAATGAAAATAAAAATTTTAAATGCGACCATTTTTCGCGAAATTATCTTATTTGAATTTATTATGTGAAATGAATTTTGATATAAATTTACCTATGCGATAATTTTATTGACGAGTGTATTTTTAAAAAAAATTATTATATATACACTTTTGATAATTTGGAAAATAAATTTAGAATAGATTTGGAATAAAAAGTCATTTTTTTCTTCAAGAGCGCACATACGAGTGCGTATAGTAATTAACGCAAATGCTTAAAAATTATAAAAACGTTATCCGCTACTAATTTAAAATGACCACAGTCATTTAAGAATAAAAATTATTTATTTAATAATTAATTTTGAACTCCTAAAACATAAATAAATAATAACATAAAAAAATATCACATATTATTACGCGGCTAACTTAGTTTGAATAACATCTATTCTAAGCTTTAAAAATAGAAATATAGCTAGCTAAGGGTATTAAATTATTAAAGGGTATAAAAATTAATTTATTGAAATAAAATTTTACAAGCACATGTTTCTAGATTCCTACATGCGCCATACATCCGAATTTTCGATATTTTGACGTTTCACCTTAATATTTATATAATCCTTTTTTACACTGAGCCTTCTTTACATTGAGATATATCCTCAGTTTGTGATCATTTTTTTTAATTAATCTAATTTCAAAATATTTAAATTTATACAACGTATGCGTATGCTTTTCATTTATATTTTCATGCATTTTCGTGCTCCACAAAATTAGATTTCGTGAAATTCAGAGAATTATATGTTTTTGTCTTGTAACTTTGGAGGGCGCATTTAGCACGAAATATTCAAATCCAGCAAGGAAATTTTTAATCTGTTCTATGTGTGATGAATCTAATAACGATTTTATTAATGCCAATTGAAAGTATGTCGTGATGTGATACTTTTCAGCTGCCAGACGTTACATTTGCGTTACATAACATCACCGTGCTCATGGAAAGTAATATAGTGTCGGAAGTAAGCCAGGGCAGAGATTCGTTTCTGAAGATTCAGAAGGATATACAGCACGCCGTTAATCAGACAATCCCTGTAGTCAGTGCGAGTATTCGACGAGCCTGTAACTACCTGGCAAGCATTGCCAATAATATGACTGCCATGATCGACAGGATAAATGTCGACATAGATAAAGTATATATGCAACATTTAGAAGTTGCTCAGAACAATATAAATCAGTATTCACCTTATAGGTTCGTGAACAAATAAACTTGAGATAAATGCATTGCGAAGAATAGAATTCATAGAGAACATCTAATGATCCTTATATATATATATATATATATATATATATATATATATATATATATATGCTTTGTTTTAGATACTATCTTGGTCTTGGTATATCCGGTATTCTTCTGACTGTCTTGATGTGTTTAACGTGTGGCCTTTTCTGCGGTATTTGCGGAAAGCGTCCGGATGGATACGGAGATGATTGCTGTAATAAAGGATCAGGGGCACGGTTTCTTATGATGTAAATTACAAAAGTTACTAGAATTACGTAAAATAAAATCAATTACCATTGTCATTCTCTTTTTTTAACTGTTAACATTTTAAATTGCAGGGCTGTGTGGATTATCTTTCTTTTGACGAGCATTCTGATGGTTATAACTGTTGTTCATATGATAACTGGCGTTATAGCCCAACGTGGTATCTGCGAGCCTTTAAAGAATCCAAAAGACAACAGGATGTTCGAACTGGTCGATGAGTTCGTGCAAATTAAGAGAATACTTTATCCGAAAAATCCTAATGCGAATATTAATATGAGTTATATTGTAACGTAAGTATGTCTATATAGTATATGTTGCATTTTAAAATCGGCTAAATTCTAAGGAAGCTTGTATTTTGATAAATGATAATCTTATTGTATAACACCGTGTGATAGCATTTTTCACACATGAAAAACTCAAATTTTCTGTGAAAGTAGAGATGAAATCTAGTACTGGCGTGCGTTTAATTTGGCGATATCAAATACCACCGTTTGCGGTTTTTGTGCACGTTCCAAGTTTAGAGGAGGTCATTTCGTCTGCGGCCCAAGATGAAATTTTACGATTGTCTGAACATTATGTACATAAAATTATGTATTTCCATGTAAAATTGATCGCTAAATGAGAAAACAATCAAATTAAAGCAATTGGAGTAGAACAAAATGGTGAAAAAATGTATTTTTAATGGAAAATCATTTAGCCTGTGATCTAAAAATGCTCATAACTCATAACGCTTGTGAGCGTTAACATTTAATAAACAACAAGGATGATTCGTAAGCGTTATAAGTCTGAATCGGATCGCAGCATTATACATAGCTAACTTCAAGAGAAATGCGTTATGATCATTTTTGTAGAAAGGTCGAAAATTTTGAGTAATTTTCAATTAAAAATACATGTTTTCAACATTCTTTATTTCCGCTTTAATTTTATCATTTTCTCATTTAGCAACTAATTTTGTATAAAAATACATGATTTTTAGACAATTGTAAAATTTCCTCTTGCACCGTAACCGAAATAACCTGTTCAAATGTGTAAAACTTCAAATGTGCATAAAAAACACAAATGATTTGATATCACAGAATGACACGTACGATTGTAGTTACAGTTTGTTTCTACTTTTGAGAATAACTTGAGTTTTCTATGTGTGAAAAAAAAAATTATTTTTGTTGCACAGTGTAATCATGAGATGCAATAGCGTCTCCCGTCAAGTATATCTATCGGAAAAAACATTAAAAACATAAAAAAGTTTTCCGTTATGTATATTTTACAAAAAAAGAAAAAAAATAATACCTCAAAAAAGAGGTGAAATCAAAATAATTGTTACATCCCTCCGTATAAATAGAAATTTTTGTCATTTTGCTGCTTATGTTATATTTTCTTTTCATGATTTCATTTTTACATTGTTCTATATGAATTATTTGTTAGTTTAATCGTTTTGTGTGAATATCCTGCGAAAATAATATTCAGTTTAATCGCGTTTCGAACACTCTATGCCGGCGTGACGCGTGCATTGGCTAGCACAAGTCAATCACTCGCGAGACGCGTACCACATGCCGATGTTGAAAAATAAGGATTCCATCAAAAGGAAAGAAATCTAGAGACACGGTAATATCTTGGCGCTAAGAAAAACGCGTAGCGTTTTAGCGCGAGACAGTACAGTGTATCTTTACGCTGAGTTTTTCGAGATCTCGATTTCGAGATCTAGATATAACAGGCGCGTGCTTCGTGTGCGATACTGAGTACGCTAAAAGATTTTAATAATTTTATAATATTATAATACTATTACACTATTAACCTTTTTATAGTATTTATTAATCGATTTAACCTTTGATACATATAATATCAAATGCGCAATGTCCGCGATGACAGCCGCTCACGAAATAAGCGTAGCGAGAAAAATCGACACGACATTTACTTACGACACGAAGTTACACGCGATACGATCGAATTCTAGACGACTAATTCGCATCGCGGAAAAGAGGCAATCGACTATCGATTTAACATCTTTTTTAAATAGGATCTCAATAATGGCTGTGCCGATCAAATTCTATGTATGGTCAATCGATAGCTTGTTCTCGAATTGTATAATGAAAATGCATTTATTTTTTTTTCTATTTGCCTTGTGAGCGAAGATATTGCTACAAGTTCCAAATTTTGTTCAAAATTTAAGAAATGTTATTGTCATTACTATTAACGTTGTCATCGTCGTCTGTCTGGCCTATGGATTACGTCTTCAACTTCAGTCAACAAATAGCAATCTCAACCTTTTTATTTTACTTTTCAATAATTTTTTAACGGACAACGATCGACTACTAAAACTGTCCGATGATCACTTAGGGTCATAATTTTGACAATACTCGTATATGTACACGCGCGCGGTGTGATGACCTTCATAACGTGTGGAAGGATCAAAGTGAATCGGAAGTGAATTGTCCATTTTAATTTTAATTAAACTTCTTAATAATTAAAAAGCGACTGCTAAAACGCTTCATTCAAGGACATGATAATATATATCAAGGTCATCATAATCGGAGTTCAATTGACTATTTAATTTTTAATAACTTTTTAACGTGTAATGAGTAATTGCTAAAACCTTCCGAAGGTTAGTTGGTGCGATAACCTTCATAACGTATGGGAGAGTCAAGGTCGTTGGAGGTAAATTGTCCATTTTAATTTCAATAACTTCTTAATAATGAATGAGTGACTGTCAAAACCCTTCGATAGTCACTTAGGGTCATGACCTTATTGACAATATATATCAAGGTTGGCATCATCGGAGTTGAATTTCTTATTTCATTTTTAATAACTTTTTAATATGTGATAGATGACTGCTAAACTTTCTGAAGGTTGCAGAAAATGTAGCAGAAAACAAGTATCGTATGCCGCAGATCTATGTTAAGCAATAATTACAAATTGAAAAAAGGAATAAAAGTAAGTAAAAGTTACCGAAAAGAGTAATTCCAACTGTAACCTATGTTTGTCTCATAATTAAATCTTATAATTTCTTATTTAATTTCATATGTTCTACGAATTATTTTATTGGTTAATACTTATTCGTTATATTAAAAACACTGATAAACAGGTCACCCAAAGTTTAAATAAGAATCTTTCCATGATTTTTATTTTATGAATCATCTGACTGAATAACTAATTGGAAGGAACACATTGACTGGAACGCCAGATGTCTCAGTGCGTTCGTTTGTCCTGACTTTCTCTCATGGAACTTAATTCAAGTGATCGGGGAGAGGATCAAGGGCAATCGCGGGAGAACTTAAAGCAAATACGAGAAGAGAGTACATGCAAAAATTAATACACCCGGATTTCAGTTAAACATAATATAATTAATAAAAAAAACGAATGTTTATACATGTTTTTGTTTTTATGAAATAATCGGCAACTTGTCGCATTTGTAATTAATTTCAGTGTATCTCTGGTTGAACGCGGTGCGTGCATGCGTGAATGAGTGCGTGGGTATGAACGTATGTATGAACGTGTGTACGTATGTATGTATGTACGTATGTTTGCATGAATCTATGTATAACCGTATATGTATAAATGTATGAATGTACGTATGAGAGGAAAGTCCCCTATTATAAGATAGGCGCCTAATATGAGATAGCGGCGTTTCTGCTAAACTAATAAACGCTATTAGTTTCACCAATGAATTTATTGCTCTTGTATTGAAAACTATTTAGTAGAAAATTCATTATTAGATCATGCCTGTAGTTATTGTAAAAAAAGATTTTAGAATTTAGATGTCTTCATGTTTCATTGAGATGAGCCTTTAAACGTTGTTTATTATTTAATAAATAAATATTTGGCAATAAATTTTTCATGTTATTATAGAGTAAGGTCATACTAATAAAAAAATACGGGATATGTTGAATTGATTAATTACAGAAGTTAGATTTGATGATCGTAAAACCGTAAGACATAGAAATTGTAATATGAGATACCCAGGATATTTCTAATATACGAAATATATAACTCGTGCTCCCATGTCATAGTGAAAATCGTTACTAAATAGTAAATGTTATTGTATCAGTAAAAAGAATAACCGAAATCAGGATGATCTGAACATCGAGTGCCTATTTCTGCGATACTTGATTCCAACTACCTAAAGATGAGTTCTGGGTATAATCTCGCATTCTCATTTTTCACGCACGCTGGCTGTGTTTGTTTATATTTAGAAACATGAAATAAAGTTTTTTAATTGTAATACTGATATATTTTGATATATTTTTTATTATCGATTTCTTGGGCATCTCACATTAGCAGCACAATATTTTGACTTTGCGATTTGCTCACTTTTTACATTTTTTTAATTTAAAAAAAAAATGGAATTTGAATTAAATTTTATATAACGTTATCTTACAGCTTATTAAATTCCCTTCAAAATAATCTATTATTTTTTTAAATTCTGCCCATAAACTTCTAGCATTTGTCCAAAATAAACTCGATATCTCATAATACGAGTCTTTCTTCTATGTATGTACATATGTACGTATATATATGTGAATGTATATATGAACGTATGTATGTATAAATGTATGTATCCGAAACATCGACGCTTCTGTTAAACGCGTCGCATCGCAACATATCCGATTGACA